AAAGCAGTTTTTCTTTCTGCTGAAAACGCAGCCAATGCCCCTATCGCTGCGAACGGCAGTCGCGGTTTACGCATGCGCAGGAGTGTGTGCTCCCTCCAGCCTCTAGCCGCCACTCTAGCGTCAGGGAGAGAAGAAAGCCTGTTGTTTCTTGCGCCGCGGTTTGACGGTGTCGAAGAGAGATTTCGATTAGCGTCGCTGGCGAACGAGTGACTCTCTCACATTATTGTCACGCGTTCGACCAAAGTATCACGACGTGCCTTCGAAGCCGACGTACGCAACGAAACGGAACGAACTCGTCGTACGTCGAATCCGTTTCCTAACCTCTCTATCGACCTCGCCGCGGAGTGACGACCGTACGAGCAGCGTTCTGTTTACCGAGGCTTTGTTGAGAAGAAAGGAAGTTCTTTTTTCCAGAGTAGTGTATTGGCGATTTTATCTATCGTCATTAACTGTACATATACATATTTTGTGGCATACCGTTTACTCCTGCGCGAGATCCGTTTATTCATAAATATTGTTTACTAGGCATCACCATGACAGGTGGAAACACCACTGAAAAGTCGGCTAATAATCCGCTGGAGCAGTTCGTGCTACTTGCGAAAACTGCGAAGGGCGCCGCCGCCATAGAGCTCATAAGGCAGGCCGTTGAAACGCCTGGGGTGCATGTCTTTGGCGAATTACTGGACATGCCAAACATCAAGGAGTTGGAGAACGGACCTTACGTCCAGTATTGGAACACCCTGAATCTGTTTGCGTACGGCACCTACAAAGATTATCTGGAAAATAAGGAGAAAGTGTTGGAGTTGACGCCTACGCAGAAAAAGAAACTACAGCACCTCACAATTGTCACTTTAGCCACGAAAAACAAATGTATACCCTACTCGGTGTTACTGGAGGAGCTGGACATAAAGAATGTCAGAGACCTGGAGGACTTGATTATCGAGGCGATATACGCCGACATAATTCATGGGAAGTTGGATCAGAAAAATTCACAGTTGGAGGTCGATTACGCCGGTTTGGGACGGGACGTCCGGCCGGGTGATACCGGCGTGGTAGCCGAGACGTTAGCCGCCTGGGGCGAAGCGTGCGATACGGTTCTGTCGTGTATCGAGGAGCAAATATCTAGAGCTAATGTCGAGAAACAAAAAGCTACTTATCACAAGGAGAGAATACAAAGAGACGTTAGTTACATTTCCCTCTCTCTTTTTTCCTTTTTCCCCCTCCACGGGAATGCCGTTCAGTCGTTGGATCGAGGGATAAACCGCTGAGGGCATTGTGGTGTACAGATTTGCGGCATTGCTGGGTATTAAGGCCTTCACACACGAATCTACTTAACACGTGATACGTAAACCGTAAAGAAATCCCTCCAATCAGAGTTGACTATTCTCTACATTTTACTAAGCAAGACGGAAGCCGTAGCGGTGAAAAATTTCATAAGGATGCAATTCTTATGTTTATGTCGTTAAGGTATACAGATTTTGAAGCTATATGTGTTTTAATGAGCGATCATAATAGATACTGCTTGTCGAATAATATGTTTGCCTATTTATTTGAAGAAAATTTAAGTGAAATGATCAACGCTGATGATACGATTAAATCAACAGATGATTGGCTCATCGACTGTGTGAGAGATTATCCTGTCAAAACTTATATTGTTATCAACGTTTTACTTACTTTTCACAATAGAACGTAAATACAATAGAAAAACGAAGATACAGCAAGCAGCACACTTTGCGATCTTTCTTCAATGATGATGATGACTGGACTGTGGGCGAAGCTTACGGTTTACGGCAGTCGTGTGTGATGGCGCTTACGTACTACGGCTTACGGTTTCAGTGTTCAGTAGATTTGTGTGCGAAGGCTTTTACTAGGCATTTTCTGGACAGTTTGGGCATTAGACCTTACTGGGGCGTTATAAAGATTAAATGAGATAAGGTAATGCCTACTGGGCATTAGTAGGCATTGGTGTACATGATTTTGATTAGCAGTTTATCCCTCGCGTTAGATTATGTAGCTTATTTACATGTTTTATATCGCAACAAAGGCCAATTGTATGATAAACGAGATTTATGTCGCCTTTCAGATATCTAATATAAAGAAATCCCTGGCGACTCAAGCAGGAGGCGGTGGCATTCAAGAGGCTGATATGGCTGGTGGTAGTTCTGGGGCGGGTGGAAGCGAAGCGAGTAGAGAAGCCATGCCGGTACTGTCAGAAAAGAAGAAGTTACAGAAAGTCAAATGTATCAAAGTCGGTGGTAAGTTTTGGAAGACATAAACCCAATCAGTCTTTTCTTGCGCAATGCATACTTTTTCCCATCGTTCATCCGTTCGTTGAGTCTGATATTACACTTGGAATATGTTATAAATTGTGACTAAATTGCGAATATTAAAATTGGAACGTATGTATGTGGACAAAATATCGAACATTCTTGTGTTGACTTTTTTTTTAGATTATGAAATGAATGATGAATGAAAAGATTATGAGTGAGAAAGGGTAATATTGAAACGAATTTATTAATTATATATACATATACATAGTATAATCCAAATGCCGATTCGAGAATCCTTTATGTATTTGAAATATTGAGTTTGCATAGACTTTTGGAGCAAAGGGAAATAATATTTTATACAACGTGTTCTAAGTATATAGCATCGAATTGTACACATTAAATATGTGAGAGTACTCGATTTTGTGACATTTATGGACTCGATGTTATAATAACGAATAAACTCAAAAGTACATTTTCTTATTAAAATACATTTGTAAGATTAATTTATTGACGCACGCACACACACACATACCTACACCCACACCCATACACACATCGGTATAAGAAACTTGAAAAAACCTGACATTGGAGTATGAATTTCCACTTTAATAACTACAAATATTTAGCGGAGAGTGTAGAAAGAGCGATAGCTTTCATACTACTTTTACTGTGATCATTTAAAATATCACGACTAGTATTTGCTGTACAAGCCATTTCTCAGTACTGTTAGCATAAAATTTAGCGTTCATTCACGGAATTGTTTATTTATTTACATTGAGAACACAAAGTAATAATATGTACGAGGTATACACGTAACGAGAGATATATGTGATGATTGTCTTTACATCGAGCATTTGAAAAAAAAACATGAATCTTTCCTTTGTGACAAAGATAATTTTGTAGGTAAGCTTGAATATTCTTGTAATATACCTGTTAATTTTTTTAGACCAAAGACCATCATGTTTTGTGTTTGTAGGGCGTGAAGAATTTAATTAGGATTTGACGATTCTCTAGATGAATTTGATAAATAATGCAACGTGTATTGCATATTTATCAATGCATACGTGCCTACCCATTGCCAGTTATCACATAAAACGGTATGCCCATTGCGACGAGTTGGCTTACGTGTACTTCCAACGGTAGTACCGTTCGTACTGTTTGCGTTCAGACTTTACAGATTCTCGTTTCGTAAGGGTTTGTAGTCGCTAAACATTTACTGACGGAACAATGCGTAACTAGTCGGAGAGATCGTTTTTGAAGAAACTTGTATATTCAAAAAATTGTAAAGGTATGCCACTGATGTAGCTTAGCAAAAAAAAAATGTCAGTTCGTTAAAGCGTTGTAATGCTATTCGAATAAAAAGATAATATATTTTAGCGAGGCTTTTTCCATTTTTTTATACCCTCAATGCCTCTCTCTTTCTCTCTATCTTTCCTTCACATTTATAAAGTACGTTGCTAGAAAACATCTTAGGCTTTAAAAATCGCACAAATTGTAGGTGTGCAATATTATAGGACGACATAAGACTGGTGTGCTTTAATACAAAATTTGTTAGAATGTATTTGTGTGTTCTTATACATTCAACTAAATGTTTTTGTTATTGCATTTACACTTTTGATCTTATTCGCGTCGTAAAGGTGCGTTCTGTAACTTTTTTTAAAATGTATTTACAAATTGTAGAAACAAATTATGCAAGTAAATTTTATATTAGAAATTTTAATCGTGCAATTTTGACATTTTATTTTCTTTCCAATGCGTATCTTTTACATACATGTGTATGTACACACACAGACACACAGACAAACACACATTCTATTATGGTTTGAAATGCAAGTCACCAATCATTCGTCTAATCGGGATTTTCAGGATCTGCTACTGATCCACTAATGGTCGATGGGACAAGTTGGGAATAGCCGAGAATGAATTAGGTGAACCCTTGTGGCATACCAAGTCGTTCGGATACTCTAGCTTTCTCCCCCGCTCCCCTCCCCCCTTTTTTCTCATTCTCTCTTCCCTTCTGCGATTTTGATGGAACAAATATTTCTCCTGTAACTTTTGTAGCTTTCAAAAATAAACGATACCTTTCAATTGTCATATGTTTATTGTAAGCCACATTAAGAAAAATAAAATCATGTTGACCTAAGTGTTTTCCTTTCCTCCACAAAAATTCGCCTTAGAAAAGAGAAATAGTACGCAGCGGTTACGTCGTCGATTTTATTTTGCAACTTTCATTTTGATAAGTACATTACGCGCTATCGCTATCGTCCTTCTATGTTTAATTTATAATGTATTTAAAATATCTTTAAGTCGCGTGAAACGTATATATGTATATATAATATATCTTACTTTTGACATTGCGTCTTTGCATTGCATTTCAGATTTATACGTCGCATAATCACTTACGCAGTTTTGTTACGATTCAACAGGATATAATTAAATTGGTTCCACACGAGCCACGATAAATTCCTATTTATATACGACATATACGTTATTACATGCGTATATACAATTATCCATCTATAATATATTTATATATGTACATGCGTACATATAACTGCGAATACCTGTCGAGAAACATCGACATTTTCCTGCACATTGGCTTTTACATATAATTTAGATTTTTATCAATTTTAACATATCCATTGCCCGCGTATCGGATCCGTGACTCCACGACCAGTTCCTAAACCGTTATATGCGTAACACAACAAGACGAATTAAAAAATGGAAAGAAAAACAACTTGCCACTTTTACATTTGTGACTATTGCAGCGGAATCGTCACATCGAGACAGAGCCTGTCTCAGGCACGTGAGCAGTGAATGTGTTAAATTATTGTTTGAGTAAAGTGTAGATTGAACAAATGTAGATTGAAAAATTCTCTCAATACGATAATACGCAAGGGCTAAATTTTATTCTCTCTTTTCAAATAGTTTCTTACTTTAATATTACGTTATTTTACTAATGAAATTATAAAATATGCGTACAACGAAGGATTTAAATTGCTAAATTGTGAGCATCAGGCTTACCCAGATAGCCAGTATGTTCGAGCAATGTATAGAAATAAAATGCCAGCAACTGGTGCTAGCTATTTCCTAGGAATATGAATTCAATGTTTGAGTGATTTAAGTACAGCCAGCATAATGTTAACATATTGTAGTTAAATGCACAGCTAAAGAGAGAACATATCGAATGGGCATACTGTTAACAAAAAGTTAGCATATATTGTTTTCAATTTTCTAACAGATACAAACATGTTATATCTATTACATCTGGCAAAACACTTAATGCTAGCATGTTTGGAGCATGCAAATGTATTATTTCCGAGCATCGAATGCTATTAAACAACAGCACAATAGACGACATAGATGCATAGCAAGATGCTAACATTTTTGTTAGCAATATGAAAGCAACTTGTGCTCACGCTGGCTATCTGGGTATCTGTAGGCCTCGTGACAAAAAGAAAAGAAATATTGATAAACGTTATATTATATTTGAATGTCCGTACATATACAGAGAATTTGAAATACTTCAAGTACAGTGATAATGATTTACAAGTATACATTGATTTACATTTCTAGACGTATACAAATAAATCACAGATAAATTGATGGCAATTGCAAATGATCGAATGAGGTACTGACAAATTTTCACAGCAAAATATAAAGTAGGTGTTTTAGTTTAGAGACGATATGTTTAACGCGAATGGAATATGTCAAGTCTTACGTAAAATTAATACAGTCTTCCTCACATCGTCAATAAGAATCTGTTCTACAATACTTAATTATATTCTAATAATAACAAGAATTACGTATTGCAAAACCAAATTTGCGCTACTGTTATGAGTTATGACACTATGCAATTTGCACATGTTTTTTCTACGAAGAGCAATTCCTATAGTTTGCAGAAAATCTTCCTAAACAATAAATTTAATATCATAATATTGGCTAAATTTTTGATGTTATAATATTAGCCTAATCTAAAATGTACTCGCACTTCGCTTTAACGACACGTGAAGTGCGCGTTATGTTAGATTCAATTCTAAGTTTACATATTTACAAATGTATATTTACAATAATTAGATGTAACGTGTACAGCAATGTGAACATTACACTTAATGCTAATTTTTCTTAGAAAACTTACGAATTTGTTACCTAATAAACGAAAGTACTTTTAAATATTTACCTCGTAATTATACAATATTAAAAGGTTTAAATTACAACTTCCGTTTCAGACAGGATAATTTTGTAAATTTGTTGAATTATGTTTAAACGTTTGAATTTTTATGACACTCGGCATATCAGACAAGAAGTGTCAAAATGATGTGAATATCGAGACGTGGCCATGTAAAAAGATAATATAGAATTTTCCTCAATTATTAATATTACGTTACCTATAGAAAACACGAAGCAAGAGATAGAAATATCAAAAGTTTAAGAGATTTTAAGACATTTTTTAAAGATATGTATCTTTAACAGCGACTTACAATTAATACGATTTCAAATGTAAATTACATCATAATTTTCAATGAAGGAAAACGAATTTTTAATTTATAACGAAATATTATACGGATTAAGACATTAATACATTGCATTGTAACATATTAAAGTATTTAGTGTCTATCGAACTATTAAAATCCAGTTAGTGTTTTTTTTTATATAAAAGAGTAGAAGATATAAAAATGGATAATGTTAAACGTCTAGTTATTTTATTCGTTAGATGCGAGCGAAATTAATATAACGACTTTCCTCGTTAATTTTTTTTTCCAGAGAAGAGAATTGATATTTGATTACGTTACGTGCTTGTTAAGTAACGGTAAATGTGATGATGTAGTGAGAGATTCAGCATAATAAATCTCTAAATTATATATATTTCTTCGTTGCGTACATTATTAAGTAACAAAACAATCTTTAACTCTAATGCTCTTTCATTGTACGCTCATTTATGTTTATTTGTCCTCTTACATGTAACTTAAGATTATAAGTTTGTAACATATCGTGCGTCTCAGGATATATATATTTTCGGCACATCGTATAATAAATTTCTCTTCTACCTCATATTCACTCAACTCTAATCCAATGGTAATGGATAATTTTAAGTACGTGTCATCGAGCAAATTGGCGTTTGACTGCCGCTTACATTTTGCCTATAGCGAGGGGCACCTGACGATAAGTTGCTTGAAAATAATTTTCAATATTTGACTTCGTCTTGTCGAGAAATGCGTTGGCGAGGATCTAGTCGTATGTACAGTGTACAACAGAATAAATCAAACGATAACGGGGTTCTTTGAGATCGGTTTTAAACTAACAGTTAATACCGGCGATTCCGTTGACAGCTCTACCTTCCGCTATAACGAGACGTCGCTCTGGGAAAGCGGCCCGTTGCCTATCCTGGCATTGCTGTTGAGTCGTTTCGTCGTTGTGCTATTTGATTCCATGTTACTCGCGGACACGATTACGTCCGGTGACTTTTTATTACTCGTCACCACGGTCACAAATTCCTTCTCGTTGACAGCCGTCTGCGTTGATCGCGAGATGCACGTCGTCAGCGATTCCCCGTTTTTCCGCTCCTTCAATTCCATTTCGTAATCTGCGAACCAAAACGCGAAGGAGCCGCGTATGATTTGTGGAACGTAATATGTAAATGAAGAAATAAAAAACACGTTAAAATGATAATCGAATTATCTGGGAATTGAGCAGAGGGCTCGGGGATCGTATTTACATTCGCTCTGAGTGGAGCAGTCCATGGTGGACGCGATATGTTTCTTGATGGCTTTATTCTGGTCGCAAGTAGCGGCTGTCAGAACCGTCGTCGCCGTCACCGGCCCCATCATACTCGAGGCATTTGTGGCAGTTATCGCCGAACTTTTCGTCGGGTTGGGTCTTCCTGCCCTTACAGTCGGGCGGACGTTTCTCTCGGGTCGGATTAAAATAATGTACAGCTGCACATAAGTTTTAATTTAAGCGTGAATTCCCTTTGCGATTAATTAAGTTTATACATTACGAAAAATTGTATAAGCTAAATTCCATTTTTTTTAAATAAACTTTCTTATCTAACGTACACGGAAAAAAATGCTGTTGAATTAAAAAGACAATGAAGTTGCTTGAATTAAACGTTAACGTCACGAGCTGCCACAAACATAAGTAATTCACTCAATTGTATTTACTTTGGATTTTAATATTTTAAGCATTGAACTAAATATCCAGATTATTAAGACAACTGTAATCTGATGTTTTTCATTCATTAATACCGATGTTGTTTCAACGATTTTATTTTAATTACACTGGTCTTGTTGATACAACGTCTTTCTTTACCGTGTACATTTTGAGAAATATTAAGGTCGAGGATACATTTTTAGCTTTCTGAAATTTCTAAATATACCGCGATTGTATTGTATTAATCGCAATTCAAGTCATTTGAATTGGTTCGATTGATTTGTCGTATGAGCGCACTCGAAATTTCCGCGTTGAAATAATTGAGCACTCGATCACGTTTTGAATGCAGGCATTGCCAAGCAAGATATTTCAAAGTGTCTAGCTTTACCTTTGGACTGAAGAGGCAAACCACCGTTACGGATGCAGAAAGACTGATTGTTACAGACATCGAGGTAATTCTCAGTGCGACGTTGCTTCCGGTACCATAGTACAAAGGTACAAAAGCGAGCCATATGACGCATGTTGTATACATCGTTAAACCTGGATTAGAAATGTTCTTCCTTCATGACGCCACTCTTTTGCGCTTTGTTAATTGTCATTGTCATACAATTGAAAGTTACGACATCTTTCACATTAAATCTTCATCTTTTACGTATTACAATTGCATGCTTGTAAAGTAAACAGACATGTAGGAATAATGTATTCTATAATTATAGAAATGTCCCAGGCATTCCTGCCTGTCCGTGTACGATTGAATTTTTGCCCGATCGTATACTTTAATCGTTTCTTTCTTTCTTAGTATTTATTAAATGTCGAAGAGTAGATAATTTTAAATAAACAAAATTTTATTTTAATTCTATAAAATCTTTACAAAGATGTAATTTTTACAGCGAAGAAAATTGAAATTCTGGTAATTATTTAGATTAACACACCCACCTCCAATAACCTTGGGCTTGACAT